GGAAGATGATGCTCTTCAGAAAGCCAAAAGTTACTATTTAAGAGAGAAATCCCACATTCATTTCTTTATCCCAGTGTTGTCCCTTTCTCTGCTGAGTTATTGTATGTATTCTTTAGTCCCTAATAATATTTTTCTTTCTAGGTTTCCTCTTGAGTTATTTTTTAATTTGGCCTCAGAGCATTACTTTATCCCCCTTAATGAACTAGAACAAGGAATATCAATTATAGCCTTGCTATTACAAATGCACTCTTTGTAAGAATGCTGTGAGTATAATTAGTGATTAATTCAGGTGAGGATAAAAAAGAAGCATATGCCTCATATTGCAATGCAAACTTATAATTGTCATTTCTTGAATAGAAATACTATTGCCCTCTGGATAACATTTTCTCCCACACCATACCTCTGCAAAATACTTGAATACACAATTGAAAATAGGTTTAGAAATATCTATATGTATTATCTGATGTAGTAAACCAGTACTTTGCTCACAAAAATTTAATTTAAGTAAATACTTATCTAATGCCATCTCTTTACTCATCTCTGTTCTGGTAGTTATGTTAGATCAAGTGAGGAGGAAATGATCTTTGCCTTGGCATAGGTAAAAATCTTATTGAATTAAGAAATACTTGAGTTTAACAATGGAGTGTTGACTGAAAAGGAATATAATCTTATTTTTTTTTGTACTGGGAATTGAACTCAGGACCTAGCGCTTGGTAGGCAGGCACTTGTACTGATGAGCTATATCCCCAGACCAGAAAAAGAATATAATCTTAAGCAGAATAGATCAAATTATGGTATATAATATTAGACTTGAGGTTACAAATACACTATTGAAAATGGAAATATTTAAAACAGAATAGTAAAAAGCATAAAAGTAGCATGGTTTATCCATTTACTTATTCAAAAATCTCTGTAAAAATAATTTTATGAATGTGAAATTTTATATTTTGGTATCACTTAGCAAAGGACATGATTTGCTTATTAAACATTGACTACAAATGAGATTTAAGAACAATGCTTAACCCTCACCCCAATTTCCACAAAAATTGTCTATTTTTCCCTTTCAAGACCTTTTCTTTGTTTCACCTGCCTTCTGACATAATGAAGCAGCCCCTTCTAAATTGCCTCGGATTTTCAAGTAAAAACACACTTGTCAATCACCAAAATTCTTCTAGAGTTAAAATTTAAAATAAAACAAAATCCCCATGAAAGCAAGTGTGGTTTGGCTCTCATTTTCCTCCAGGTGTAGTAATGGAATTGATAGCCATCACCTCCAGGCAGTGGGAATCTGGTGTGTCAGATGTTGCTGTGATGCTGAAAGTCATCTTCGCAGGCATCATTTTTGTTTCTGATCTTAGGTAGACCGCACACATTATTAATTCACTATAGGCTGTATGCAGACATCTGCATTTTCTCAGCTTTTCTCTTCCCTCTTACCCTTAAGAATGCCCATCATACTTCACCTTCAGTTATTAATGCAACTCATTATAGGCTTCTCCAGCTGTCTTCAAAATGTATACTGAATAAGACATGAGAAGGAAAGGTTTAAAAAAGCTTTCCAGTCTAGGGAAGACATTAGGTGAATTTAAGTCAGAGCAGAAGAAAATTTTTCAGACTGTATGGTAGGCTTTGTTACTTGGTCACCTGCACCATGAGTCAGACAAAAGAATTCTACTTTATTCCAGCTTTATCAGTGATCATGTACTTTCAGTTTCAGAAAATATTTTTGCATTCAAAGTGATCATACTCTGTATGAAGGAATTAAAATTCATCTCCTACCCAAATTCTATTGACTTGTACTAAGCATTTATAATTCTTGGAAAATGTCTATTTCTTTCATTAAATTCATTTATTCCCAGTTGTATTTGTAATGTAGTTACCCACCTAGGCATTCATGGGTTATATATCTAGGAATTCAACTCACTGCAGAGTGAAAATATTTGAAAAAAATCATATCTGAACTGAACATGTACAGTCTTTTGTTCTTGTCTTATTTGCTAAACAATGTGACTTAACAACTCTTAACATTGCATTATGTATTGTAAGTAACCTAGAAATGGTTTAATGCATATGAGAAGATATGTATAGGTTATATTTGAGTATTGCACCATTGTATATGAGGCTTTTGATCATTTCCAAATTTTAATATTCAAAGGGAGTTCTGGAGTCTGTTCTCCTGAGAATACCCAGGGACAACTCTATTGAAATTAGGTATACACGTGTGCGTATAATCTATCTATCTATCTGTCATCTATCTATCTATCTATCTATCTATCTATCTAAGCTTTACTGATTTATAATTAATGGTAATTTAGATGCTAATTCATTCCACATTATCTTACATATGAACTGATACTATCTAAATGATATTTTATATACAAATGGTATACAGAAAATAGAGGCTTACTTGCCCATTGCATCTTTTAAAATAGAAGCATACTTTATTTTCCTTGTGGTTTATTATAGAGATTCTCAAATATTTATTATCTACTTAATTAATTTTTACATATTAAAGTTGTAGTAACCCTATGTAGAGAATGTCCATCGGTGCAATTTTTCGAGTAGCTCAATGATTGTTAGCATTTTTAGCAATAAAGTACTTTTCAGTAGAAGTATGCATTTTGCCTTTTTTGATATAATGCTATTGTGAACCTAGTAGGCTACGTGCTATATAGTGAAATAATAATTCTTATGTGCACTGACAACCAATATTCATGCACTCACTTTATGGATATATTGGCTTTATTGTAGTGATCTAGAACCAAACATGTAAGATCTTCAAAGTATACTTGATGTTTTTGACTCACTCTTGCATATGACTTAACGGTAACACAATTGGTTGCTATATATGTGGTATAATTTTACTAGCTATTTGAAGACATCAGTGTCTACTTTATGGCTTTCCTTATCCCATGGTTAATTTCATGGTTACCAGAAATTTCAGTGTTAGACTGTTTATCTTTTTCCTTTTTATTCATCTTCCTTGTTTCTTTTACCTTGATACATTCAATTTAATCATTTTTTAAATTACTCTTTTATTCCCCTATTTGCTAATTCAGTGAAAGCTGAGAGTTTGCTGTAAATACCAACATAGAACCAAGGGTATAATTTATATATATTCACCTAAAATTCTACTGGGAAGATATTCACTAATATCAGGTGGTACTGGTAACTAGGTCATCACTAAACCAAAGTCTACGAAAGTGGGTTTTGAAAGTGAGTTATAGAAGAGTAGGTATTTGGGTAGTTGAAGAGGAAGAAAAACCCTCAACTAGTGACAAATAGAGAAATTCAAGGCCCTGAAGATAAAACTTGTTAATTATACTGTTTTGTCCAAAATTAATTTCAATTAGAAAATCTTGACTATTTGACATTGTTATAATGATTTCTTCATCTAGCAGGTAAAACAATCTTTGATGTATTTACATGTATAATCCCTCTGATAAACTTCAACTATCCAGTCTTTAGATTCCAGGCAAACACTCTTCACTCAGCATCACTGTAGTGTATCTGTTTATTTCTTATGTTGACTGCATTGTTTCCAGATAAAACTAAAAGAGTGTCTAACTTGAAATCTAGGCTATCAATCTGGCCTATTGCTCACTTTGCAAAATCAAAGCAGTATTTTGCCAAGATTGATCACGTCTCTGCTTTTGGTTACTTTTCTCTCACTGCTGGGACAGAATATCTGACACCAAAAACTAAGGATGGAAAGGTTTATTAGCTCATGGTTTGTGGAGGTTTCAATCTGTAATCAGCTGGCTCCTACCAAGGTAGGGTAGCATGGCACAGGGACAACAGTTCAAGGTGGCAAAGACAGCAAAAGCAAGAGCAAAAGGGGGGAGAAGTAAGGCTCTTTTTCCTCCCTTATATTGTATGCAGGCTCTGCACCCTAGGGTGGGTCCTTTACACCCATACTATATATGTGCCCTCCTTTTGCACCCACTCAGGATGTTTACAAAGCTAGGACCCTAGCCCCCTGCTGAGTCCAGTCCTTAAGCTTTTAAACTTCTCAAGTTGACACAATGTATCAATCATTACAACTTGTAAAAAGTGAAAACTGGAAATGCAGAAGCTATTGGAATACATATTTTCTGATAACATCATCTCGGATACTATCCTCTACTCTCCTTTCAGGCAGAAGGGAATGCACTTCTCTCCTTTTTCCTTCTGCATGGGATGACATACAGGCATCATTCTGTTTATGTGTTGTGTTTACATTGTGTGTATATTTACTTAATTGCATATGGTGCTGTCTGTCTCACACTAAAATTAATAAAGCCTTTTAGATTATGGAAAATAAGAGGAAATAAACTTGGGAAAGGTTATGAAAGAAGAATCAACAGAAATCAATACTGATCTTTACACAGAATCAACTCTTGGCAGAGAGGACTAGTGAATTATTTACATTAGGTAAAATTTAGAAATGAGACGTGTGAGAAAGATTCCCTACCTTTGGGTCTGGATTTCTTTTCTTGCTAGCATGACATCAACACCACTTGCAAAGCTGGAGCCAATGATTCATAGCATGGACCCATTGCTGCTTTATCTCTGTGAATGACCAAACTCCCTGATTGTACAACTCTGCTCCCTGGAGTCTAGAGCCTGTCCCATGTGACTGCAAGTATCCTTCTCCCACTTGGCCTAGGAGTCATAAAGAAGAAGCTGGGGCTCATTGATAGCTTTTCCTTGACATGTCACTCTCCTTACCACCCTCCCTGCCACCACCTCATGGGAAATGCTTCTCTTCCCCTCTTTTAGGCTTCTGCTTTGGATGCCCTTAGCTTGCTTCCACATACCCCTTCAGCAACACTGAACAGAGGTTACAGAGTTGTTGCCACTTTCCTGACCACAGCAGCCTCCTCCTCTTCTTCCTGTCTCTTTTGCCTGATCTGCTATCCAATCAGGCACTGCCCAAGGAGACCACAAACCAAGGAAGAAAGACTAGAATAAACAGGCTCTGAGACATCGTCAGAAGTAAAAGGCAGAGGAGGAGGGCCTGCAGGACAAGTTCCCAGGCTAGAGCCACAGGCTGGAAGGTGAAGGATAGGGTGGAACTGGAGATCCAGTAAGTCAAGGTCCTGTGTGTCAGGCTCACAAGGCTCCAAGTCAGAGCAGGCATCCTAGCTGGATGGCCAAGTCGAGGTGTATGGGGGGAGCTGGTCTCCTGCTCTACCTTGCTTGTGCTTGAGCTCTAAGGTAAGAAAGATCCCTATATCTCTGTCTTCCTGAGAAACCACTCTGAAGATACCACCACGTATTACAGCAGCCATTGATATTTTCCTACTAATCTATCCATAACTGTGTAAAGTTTGTAATGTTCCTATCCTATTTCATAAATGGATGTATGTTTATTATTATGTGTTTCCTACAACAACCATTGAGAAGAGTTAATGATTTTTCAGTAGGTCACTCATGTATAGCTCTATTTATTTTCTTTAGAAGCCACTTTGAAGATACCAAAGTATAGTACAACAACTCTTGATAATCTCCTACCTCTTTTGTCTGTAACTCACTATTATTTGTCTATTTGTTTTCCTGAGAAACTATTTTGTAGACAATAATGTGTAAAATGATAACCATTGATAATTTCCTACCATTTTGCCTGTAATTTGCTAAGTCCCCCCTATTATTATGTTATCCTTCTTTTATTCTTTAAAATAAAAAAAAAAAGAAAGATCCCTAAATCTTGCCCATCTCTTGCTCTCTAGCTTCATTCCAACAACCCCCTTTGCCCATCACATCCTTGTCTCCTCTCCTGCCAGTTTTTGTACTTGGCTCCTCCTTTTTCTCCTTGGAGACATGTAGTGTCTGACTTTAGTCAACATCTGCTCCCCTCAGCCCCTCAAATAACAGCTGAGAAGCTGCAGCCCACAAGGAATTAAAGGAGCAGAAACACCAAAGAGCTTGGAACACTGATCTCTTAAATCTCAAGTAAATTATTTCTTATGAGTTATTCTTGGTGGGGTCTGTACAGACCACAGGATAGAACAGGGAATTAGGGTCAGGAAGTGCTATAAAATTACTCTGCAAAAGGGAATAGGAGAGCTGACTGAGTTTGTAAGCCAACCGGGGTTTTAAGGACGAGGCCCCTTTAATATAATAATATAAAAAAAAAAAAACCAAACAAACCAGTCTTTGGGGAATTGCTCTAGAAGAGGAAGCCAAATTTTACATAGCAGGAGATATACAATCAAATACAGGGGAAAGGGCACGTTGGGGACCACTAGGACCACTGGAAACTGAGCGCTTGTTTCAGCTTTGGGAAGAGATAAGTGTTTTGTGAAGGTGACAGGGAAAGAGGCTGCATCTAGGTAACAGCTGCTGGAAACATCTTGTTGAGGGTTGCGAACAGGATAGAATGAAGAGTTTCTGCTGGGGTAAAAAACTAACCAGAACAGAGATGTATATCAGGTAGTTTTAGAATGATGAACTACAAAGTGTTTATGCTCAGTTATTAATGTCAAAGCCAGGTTCTGTGTCTATGGTCGGTATAATAAAACAGAAGCGTGTCATAGTTGCACTGGAAAAATATCTGTGTTATCATTTTAGTGAATTTCTATAGTCTAGACTTCTAGATTTTCAAATTCATTGTATATTTAATATTCATAACAGCTATTAGCATGGTCAACATTAATTTATTAGCCCTTCCCTTTAAAGATAAGGGAGTGTAAGTGGTAGAGCATGGATTTGAGAAATGAGAATTTTATATCTGAATGATGACAGCTATATTGCTTTTAAATTTTGTTTAAAAGTATTTAGCTGTGTATACCATAAATGATAAGCTCTATAGTTCTTAGTTACTCACAACTTTATATAGATTATGTGAACATATTTGAAAATATAGCTACTTGCTAATGTATTATTAAATGAGAATGTAAATAATTAAAAGTTATATCAAATTTTGGGATGTCAAACTCTTTAAGATTGTTTCCAAGTTTTCTTTTAAATAAATAGTTCTATTAACTTGAATTCTGAGCTTCAAGTCATAAATATTTTGTCTCCCATATCTTGGTTCCAAATGGCAGAAACCAATGCTGCTTAGAGGAAGAGGTAAAAAATAAAACATTTCAGTGATGTCTAATAGTGGACAGAACCAACAGAAAGGCAAAAGAGCAAGTAGTAGAAAATTGTATTAGAAATAATTGAGGCCAGGCATCCAAGAAGTCAGCAGTATCATCACAGGACTCTCAATGCCTTGTTGCTACTCCCAGTTCCACCAGTGTCACATGAATAACTATGCCTATCCCTTCAGCTGTACAGTCTTCCTTTAAGAGTCAAGGATTTGTTCCAGAGCTACCAGTCTTTTAACTGACAGAGAAAAGGAGAGAACCTTCCCTTCTTTGACTTCCAGAGCTGGAGAAAGGGTCCTCTTTGGAGATTCCCCTCAAAATAGGAAGGATCTGAATATAGGTTAGCCACATGGCAATAATTTGGAAGTGGAATTCTATGCTACTTCAGACTAATGCATTTTCCAAGAAAGTGATATTATATAGTAATTGCAGTGAATAACTTGGAATAACACAGCTTAATAGCAAGTAGAAGTCTCTCTCTGTATTTTTTTTTAATCATACCATCATGTTTACCCACACATTTACAGGACATAATAAATAGAATACTAGTGGTGGTTCCTGGCATGATGAGGGGACTGTAAATACTGCTGCATTTATCTCTTCTATTCATTTTGAACGTTGACTTAAGAAATGAGAATTTTCTTATGCATGTGCATTGAAGATTATTTTTGTTATAGTTCTAATATAAATCTTTAAAAGTGACATCTGGGAAATTGTCATTTTACATTCATCATCAGCATAAAGCTTACATGTCAGTGAATAAAACAAGATCCCAAGGAACTTGGGCTAATTAGCTGCTTTTGGCATTAGAGCAGCTAACTGATTTCCTGGTTCACTCATGAGGAAAGAAAACTGTTTCTCAATTTAAGAAACATAATTACTGTACATATAGTAATACAAGAAAGTTGAAAACTCAGGTAAGGTTTGCAATTTTTTCTTTTCTATCCAAACCAAAATGATCCTTTTATCTTAGTTTTCTTCTCTTTTGCATAAGAGAGGGATTTTAAAGGTTGTGTTGGGATAGTTGAAGTTTAGTTTACTTGACAGATAGCCTGCTGATTATCATAAGTAATAGAGATGTTTATATGTGTTTGCTATTTGTAGGCATTTTGTTGGTGGGCTGCCGAAGCCTGAGACAGGACAATTTCCCTCAAGTATTTTAGCTATAGGAAAAGACATTCACATTATAAAGACAGAATACAAGAGGAAAACTCCAATGGTCTATCTTTTGTTAAGTGTACATGCAAGCCTGTGTATACATACCTACACATTTATATGTACATTGGTATGTGTGCATATTATCACTGCTTTTTTTTATATTACAACTAAAAAATCAAGAAGGAAGAATGCACCCCTATATCTCTGTCACATATGAGCTACTTAAAGGATTTTAAAATATCTTTTTAAGATATTCTTCATGGGCATAAATGATGAAATCTTAAAATATTTATTTAAAAAATGATTTGCTGATGAGAACAAGTTGGGAACAGCAGTAGTTTTATGTTTCAGATTCCACCATTCAAACAAACAGAGATATTGGAATAGGACAGCAAAACAAAAAACTCTTGGGAAATCTACATCTGCAATATAAATTGAGATAAAACTAGATGTCTCCACAAGTATTTAGAGATGAAAGAGATGAGCTGTGGACAGCTAGAGGATCTGAGTGACAGCAAGTAAGGGCAGGATGAAGTAGAGAGGGAGAGACTTGAGGTGGCCCTGATTTATCAGAGAGTACCAAATGAGTTCTCAGAGGAATTTAAAGGATGGTGAGAACCTCCATAAATCTGGGAGGGGATTTTGCATGTAAACAATAACAGGTGAATGCAAAGAGGTTGTGGAAAATTTGAGTGGTACTGGATGGGTTTGGGTAGTATGAATTATGAAAACTGACATAGCAAGAGTTTTGTAGGTCAAAACCCTCCACTAAGAAGAAACTACTGGAAGTAGGAATTATATTTTGCAGGAGAGGGACAACAAAGGCAAAGAGAAGTGGTTGAAAAATAAATGAGAGAAGGGAAGTAAGCTAGCAGATCTCAGAAATTATGCAGTTACATTTTTAACACTTCTGAGAAACAGAAGCACTTGAGAGAGAGAACACTAAAGCCATGATGTTAATTGGTCTAACCTTGCCTCCCTTACCTCCTAATAATGTAAAAAAACTTATCTCACTTATTCAGGAAAAATTTAAAAATGTATCTGTAGCCAGACATGATAGTGCATCCCTGCAATCTCAGACCTCTGGGAGGTTGAGGCAGCAGAAGTTCCAGCCCACCCTGTGAAATATATGATAACCTTGTCTCAAAACAAAACAAAACAAAAAAAAGTGCTGGCATGTAGCTCACTGTGAAGTTCCTGGGTTCAGTCTCCAGTACTGCCAGTAAATAAATGCTCTATATAATTATTTGTTAAGAGGTATGCTTGTAAGGTGTAATATTCACAATCAGCTAAAATATTAAGAAAGTGAATGTAAAAGTAACAAAATCAATGAGAATTGGAATACTGAGTTATTAGATGATGAGAGGAAAGGGAGACTTAGAAAACTGACCCAGTGTTGGAAAGAATTATAAATAAAAGACTCATTTTGAGACTGAATACTAAATGAAATGGAACATTAGCAAAATTAAACAATATAGATTTGCTAGGAAAAAATGAAAGTTGGGTGCGAGAAAGGTTGAATTGCTCAAAACAAAGAAAAGATGGAAGAGTTGAGTGATGTGGTAGATAGACCAGCAAGATCCATCAAAGGTACACTGATGTTACAAAGAGCAATACCATTACAATGGAAAAGCATTGATGCTAAAGTTGGTACTCAATATATTGTTGACCATACTTAAAACTATATATAAATAGTAATAAATTTAATCAAGGTGGCAAAACAGAAAACTAAAAATTATTGCCATCAGTAATTAAAGACAACGTAAATACACGGAAAGTCAGTATGCAGACTTAGTATTGTTTCCATGACTGCAATATTTTATATATGCTTCAAACATGTTCGCCTGAGGATCCCTCGTGCGGCAGTGTTCAGGTGGTGAAACCTGTAAGAGATGGGGCCTCCTAGGAGGTGGTTAGGTCATTGCTGTTACTGTCCTAGAAAGGATTAACATACTTCTTGCAGGATCT